CTGTTACGGAATTATGAGTAAGGTAGATATTTCAGGAATATATGACGTTTATTGAATAATAAAAGACAAAAATATAATAGCAAGCAAAAACAAAATAATTCTTATTGCTTCTTTACTGAGCTCATGGTTCATACTGTATTACGTCTTCGAGTATCTAAACATAATTTGGACTAATCCTTTTTATTACATTTCAAAGCAACCTTCCTATTCATTGTTCTTGTCTGAACGGGCAATATTAAAGAAGCAGAAGAAAAAAGAAAGAAAGCGAATAAGAGAAAAGAAACAGAACAAGAGAAAGATAAATGTGTTAAAGCAAAGGGGTGGTGGTATTCGAAATGATGTCCATCTATTTTCTTGGCACACACACGCCAAGTTTTTTGATAAGCCTATGAAGAATAGTTATAATTAGTTGTATTCTAATTGAAATCTAAAGTTTCTTTCATTATTATCATCACTCAAGCATGTGTTAAATTAAATCGTTGGATGCGATTATTGTTAGCATCCGCAACATACAAATTGTTGAACGAATCAAAAGCGATACCAAATGGAGTGTTTAATTGATTGGAGTCTAGACCAGCTATTCCAGTGCCGACGATTGTGGAACCCGTAGATGATCCATTGACCCATCGCTGAATTCTATTGTTACCTTCAAAAAACAAGACCAATGATGAAGAAAAGGTTATGTAAACTTATGCGACTATGGTTTTTTAATCCTATGCGCTGGGCTTTTTCGAGCCAACAGTGACTATGAAAGCTATCAAATGATTTTTTTTCAAAGTAACGCGTTTTCCATGGAGATAATTATTGATCGATATCGACGTAATAAAAGTGCATCAAAATAAATTTCGGTTTTTAAATGAACACTCGTTCAATGGGCAATATTCTGACGAAAAAACTTTCTCTCTCTTATTAACGGTTTTGTAAAACTTCTAGATAACATAAGTTTTTTTTATCGAGATATGCGATCAATGGTCTGCGACTGATAGAGGAGAGATACTCACCGGCATCGCATATATAAATGTTTCCAGCCGAATCGATGATAACATGCGAGGGTTCATCTAATTGATCTGCATTTGATCCGGAACTACCAATTTGTCCGGCGACTAAGATACCTGATAATGATGGTGGAGTCCACTTGAGGACGCGTCCGTCATAGTAGTCTGGTACATAAATATTACCACTCGAGTCGAATTTCGCATCAGATGCATAACCGATATTGTTCAAAGACCAGCCAGTAACTTCGTTACCTATTTACATTGAAATATATGCTTTTGGCATGAAAACTGTCAAAAAAAAACAAGTAATAGAGAGTCTCATCTTTTTTCGTGTGCTAATAACACGTTGAAATCTTTATGAATCCGTGATAAAGTCTTTTAGTGTTTTTAAAGTAGAGCTTTTGCTACAAAATATTCAAATTTCACTGTTTGTTTTTAAAATTAGTGTACGTATTTCTAACCTCTTTTAATAGTATGTTTTCTTTCATTTAATTTATTCTGATGTAGCTGTATCAAAAGAAAAATGCATTATTCATAAACCAGAAGCTATCGTAGAAAGTATATTGGTTGTGGATATTCTAATTCTATCCTAATTGCACGCTTGACCATTACAGGCTAACGACGAAAAAAGATCTATCATATAAAATCTGACCACTAGGTCAAATTATGAGAGTGCTTTCGTACTACCAGAATCATAGGGTTATTATATACTTTTACCATACATGAACATATTATATTTTAAGCATTTTTGATTAAAAAACAGCTTACTTTTGGCTCTCAGTAGTTATGCATAGAATCGCAACAGTTTTAAAAATCGTTTTAACTCACTTTAATTAGACACTCGGATTGATTTCAGAGATATTCACTATAAGGCAAATACTGAAGCAATAAATAACCATAAAAAATGAACTCATATGTTGCTACTACGAAGAGAACTATGTTCTCGGATCGGATGCTTAGTTCGATGAAAGGCAGACAGAATCAATTAGTGCCTGTAAATTAGTTGACAACACTGAAATAAAAAGTCTATTCACTCAATTAAGAATTTTTTCCAGAAAAACCTCTTTTCTACATTGTCTTGACAACTATTTCATATCTTATTAAAATAAATGTCAATTTTTCGTGCTTACCAGCGACTACAATGCCTTGAGAGACACCTACGGGCCATTTGAGAACACGATAGTTGCTTCCATCAGAAATGTACATGTTGCCAACGGAATCGACTGCAACGCTTTGAGGCTAATAGAAACAGGTAAAACACAACTAGTATATTATCGAACTTGGGATAAAGCTAGACGTAAGAAATACAAATGATTATAAACTCCGTTCTCCTCTATATTCCACGTCAGTTCTCTTTCTTCGTCTACTGTTGGTTAATGCGTTCAACACATTGTCTCTATTCAGTACTTCTCTTTTGTATTGCTTTGTTTTTCCTGGTTCACCGATACGATTAAAAGAAGTTTCTATTTAAACAGACAACTGTAAATAAGCATTTGTGAAGCTTACAATTAACAACTAAAAATAAACTCTCGTCAAGAAAGTTCTGCAGGTAGACATTTTGAGAGAGCTGGAAATGTCACAGTAACTTATATAAGACTTTAATATGAACGATGATTCTTTCAGTATCGCATATCTACTTATATAAATATTCCATCTAAAATTCTTTTCGGTACTCAGTCGATGCGTAGTATGAACCTATAGTTTTGCCACACAATTTAGGCTCCTAATTCATCATTACAGATCATACCGAAACACGACTAAAAAAAGTAAACTCACGTAGTTTAGTTGATTTAAATGTGAACCACTGCTGCCTGTTATTCCAGCCACTGTTGTTGCACTCGACGCTCCTGGAAACCATTGTTGAATTCGATGGTTACTTGAGTCTGCCTAATAAAAATTTAATAACAACAACATTATAAATATCACAAGCATAGAACTGGTTGAAAACTTTTGACGATTTAGCTTATCTTCTCGTTGCAATATCCAAATTTTTGCTCACAGTATTATAATAAAGTTGCTTTCCAGATTCAAGTCGAATACACTTTGAAACTTTCGACATATAAAACAATGTACAAATGATTTTCTCTCGCTATTGAAGGTTATGTGAAACAGGTTTTTGAAACAGTAAAGGCGTTTGTATCTAACAAAATTATAAATGATCATACAGTACTTACTATATATAGTGTTCCATTATTATCCACATCTATACCGTTTGGTAAATTTAGTTGATTCATTTCCGATCCTGCTATCCCATTGCCAGCGATGACGGTTGGCATAGCTCCATTACTTGGATACAAAATGACGCGATGGTTACCATAATCATTCACATATAGATTATTGTTAAGATCAAAAACAATGGGACCTGGTCCATTCAATGATAGAGTAGTGTTCGAGCCAGTTCCGGCCACAGTCTCGCCCGTTGATGACCATACAGCATTGTCTATCAGCGTGTTGTATGCTGTTAATACAAGAATACAACTGAAATGCTCTATCTTTCATCTCTCTTAAAAACGGCATCTTGAATGTTTATTTATTTTGTAAATACAGCACCTACCAATCTATTCAATAGAGTCCTTCGGGATTATTCGGATTAGTCTACCAATCGAGTTAGAGCAATTGAGATTACCTCAGCTACTTTAGCTAAAGCCAATTAATGAAATCTCTACCGCCTTTACGATACAGATTCTACAAGTACATCACAATGCAAAGATGTTCGTCTCATGATGCTCTATATTTACATGTAAAGTATTATGATATTTACCGTGATCAATCAAGTATCTTTCTTCTTCATTGAATCATCGGCAGAAGGAGATGTTTATTGATATAACTTACTCTTAATCCGTTTCTTGAAATATTTCAGACCATAAGTAGAAACTAGGAAAGAAAACGTTTCATGTCTCAAATGCAAAAACGTATAGGCTACAAGGGTGTGGGTTTAGATACGGTATTCATCTAGCACGCACAAACACACACACACACGCTATCACCTTATTCAAAGCAGAAGGAATAACTCTTTTGAATAAAGGCTCTCTCGAGTAGTATTACACTTACCTACACAGGTACTATTGGTACACTGAGCATTATCACAATCTTTTGTCAATGTGCAATTTTGACCTGCAACACATGTAACGCATGAACCTCCACAATCGGTGTCCGTTTCATCACCATTCATAAGTCCATCACTGCAGGTTTTGTCTAGAAAGAGGGCAAAGATTAAAAAAAACCATGCGACTCAACAAATCATTTTTTACCTTTAGTAAATGCAGAGACCTCTCTGGCACTGAGTTCTCGAGAATATAGTCGAAATTCATCTAAATAGCCATAAAAAGTACCTGAAACAATTGATTTAGCAGCGCACCCAGCTGCTCGTGGATTACCCAATATCACCGTGTTTGATGTTCCTGAAGCTGCATATGCCATTGCACCCGTAGAACCAATGAAACCTCCATTGACATACAATCGAACACCATTTATAGTTGAAAAAGTAGTGGCGACATGCGTCCAGACTTTGGTTGACACAACGGGACCTACTACTTCTTCAACGGCACCGTCCCAACTAGAGCCTACTATTTGCCCACTCGAAGAAAATCCCATAAAATCAAGACACCATCCTCCTCCATCTGTTTGTGACGAAACATGAACAAGAGTTCCGCCACCGGTTGATGTTCGTTGAATCCATAACGATATCGAGTATGGATGATTTGAGATCCCAAGAACGGAAAATCCATATAACTAAATAGAATATATTCAATAGTCTTGTCATTCTTTTAGAATATTTTTAAATTGTTTTTAGACAAATCTTTCTAGTGAATATTGAACAGATGAGTTTAATATAAGAAAATTCTGGAGAATTTTTAACAAAATTTTAAGTGAATATTTCTTTTTGAAAAATTCTGAGTTAGCATATTTTTCTATATGAGATATTTTGAAAGAAACAAAAATTTCTTTTTTACATATATATATTTATGTTACTCCAGCGCAAAAATACATTAAGAGAGAGTGAGGATGTAGGTGAGACGAAGATAATATTCTGAATACTCATCGATGTCCACATCCACATCCATCTCAATTATTATCGTTCTCATTTAGGAGATAAACTACATTTTTCTATTTTATTTGTATTTATCTATGACTGTACTATTAAAAATAATCGCATTCCTATATACTCAACTTTCTTTTTTTATAATCTATGAATTATGAACAGTTCGATGAAGTCTGTTACATACCTGATAATAAGATGACCGCAAACTAAAGCTTAATCCTTGACCTACTCTACCAGATGCTAATATAACATTATTAGCCGTCCCATTGATTTTATTTGGGCCCGAATCATAAGATATTCCACAATCAAATGAATGCCATGTAGTCAAAGTAGCGTCCGAAAGAATATCACTTGCATTTCTAGCATTCATGTAGAGCGTAACTTGATCAATGTAACTAAATACATAAGAATGATATATAATTAAAAATTAAATCAATTATTTCTATTTCTATTCAAGTCCTAGATCTTCTAAAAATGAACTGAAAAAGTAGGGGAAAATATAAAATTCACATAAGTACATAATAATTTATGAAGATTTTTAATAACTTAATTAATAGTGTCGAAGATAGAATACACAATACTTCTAAGGCTGGATGTTTGAAACTCAACTGAATGAACAAAATTAATGATTCAATCGTTTTTCCTTACCCGTCGTATCCATGATTGATACCATCATAATAATTTCCAATACTAATAGAACCACTTGTGCCTAAGTATGGTCCGGCTGAGCTACGACTAATATCTTGAACTCCGTTTATATAAATAATTTGTGTTCGAGATGAATAATCGTACACAAACGCTACGTGGTACCAAGTGTTTATCGACAATGTAGTTCCACTTACAACATCATCAGACCAAAACCCCATCTTCAAGTTTCCACCATAAAGACAAACATATAGATTGTGATCTGTAGTTAATGATTGATATTGATTGAAAAGTCCATAATAAAAATTACTGCTTAATGTAGTAGGATAAATCCACATTTCTATTGTGAAACTGGTAGAAACAAAACTTTGATAGGTTGATATTGTTATGTATTGATTACTACTACTGATGAGCTTCAAAGCATAGCCACTACCGGTGATGCCAGGTGTTACATAAGTAGGTGAGTTGACACCTTCTCCATTAAGACCTGATATGATATCAACGGCATTGTTTTCCATTGGCCAGAAACTGTAAGTTCCATTCAAATATGCGACTGCTACAAAAGAAAATAAAAGGAGAAAATTAACACGTACATTTTTTTCAAATCGATGTGCTACTATATTCTACTAGAAAACTCTATATGTCCATGAAATATGACGTCATCTTCGATTGTGTTACAGATCTTTAAATATATGTTTAAAATCATTTTTAACTCAGTTATTCTCGTTCCTCTGGAAGTGAAAAAAACAGGTCAGATCAGATTGATAATAGTGTTTATAAACCACAAAATGGAATCAGCTGAGCTCTTCTTTGTCTGCCATAGTCAAAAATCACTTGTGTGTGGATATTTTGTATCTTGCTACATCATATATGTTGGCTTTAATTCTAGTATTGGAAATAGTAAGTGTCAATTTTACATATAAAATTCGAACTAAAAATAGATTACAGAATAAGGAATTATATGCAGCATGGTATTTAAATTTCCCACAATATTAGGTGTGTAATTACAAAATGAATAATATCTACCTATACGTAAGGTAACATGTTACTTATTTTAAGACTGTTGTTTCATCTCAAACTTTTCCAACAATAGATTATAGGGATGTATTCTGGAATAATACTTATAATAATAAGAAGAAAAACTGTGATCAAATAAAGCAAATTCAATAACTGTCAAATTCTGAAGGTTTTTCAATACAAAAATTCTGTGACTGAAGTGCCATTGTTGTAAAAGTATTTACTCCTATATGTAAAAGGTAATTAATGTAAACTTTTCTGGCAAATAATTTAGAGAGCATCATGCTGAACTCTCATCACTTTTTTCCCTATCGGTACTTATTCGTCAGCAGAAAAATTTACAAAAATATAAGGTTCATACTAGGGGAAACAGCAGACTTCAAGAGTTCAAGACTTAAAAGACTTCGATAGACTTCAAAAAGCTGCAAGAAATTTCAATGGACTTCACAGATTTCAAGAGACTTCAACAGATTTTAAAACTTCAGGAGACTTCAAAAGACTTTCAAAACTTCAATGGACCTCTAAGATTTCAAAAGACTTTATGCATGAAGTCTCTGTTGTTTATCCCATGGCAAATTCACATGACTCTTCTCAGAAATAGCCAATCCATCAGACCCTCTTGAAACGTTCCAAAACTTGACCTCATTATATAACTATATATAGAAAAACTGCATATGAAATTTAAAGATAAACTATAGACGCAATTTTACAGACTCAAAAAAAAAATGCACACATGTAACAAATCAATACTTAGCAAACAATGAACAATTCAGAACTCTATCGAAAGGTTATGAAAAC